AAAAATAAGTAAATAAATAAAATAAGAATTTTCTTTTTTTTCCAGAAACCAATTTTTAAAAAAAATTCCAGCTATTACTTTATTTCCATAATTACATTAATTTTGTGTTTTTATTTTAATTTCAAAGGTAGCAAGGAATTCTTACAGGGGTTTTTCTTTTTTTCCCCCAAGGATTCTAATTTCTAAAACTCTTTTTCTTTTCTTTTTTTTTTGTATAAATATATATATAATTGAAAAGAATAATTACAGACTTCTTAAAAATTAAAAGGTTTTCCAAAAAAAAAAAGAAAAGTTAATTCCAATTACGCGACTCAATTTTTAAAGCAAGACAAAAAAAAAAAGTTTTTTTTTTTTTTTTGTTTCAACACAAAATATTGGATTAACTCGGGATTGATGAATCCCTATTTTCCTTAGACACAACCGCTCCGACTTTTTTTTTTTAAATTCCATTATACCCTCAAACTAATTAACTTAATTTATAACAAAATTATAAATTTTTCAAAATAAGTACATTATTACATTGCGTAAAAAAAAAGGGAAAAAAAAGCTTTTATATTTTCCCGAAAATCGTGACAATCCTCTCTCCCTCCCCGAAAAAAATAAAAAAAACTAAACCCTAAAAGACAAAAGAATTTTTTTTCCTTCCGCCCTCCCCCTTCCCCATCTTTTTCCTTTTATTTTTTTTCATTTCCGACATAAGTTAAAACTTATAATAAAAAAAAAAAAAATAATAATTTTCAACAGTTATGCCCGAAATATTTTCAATTTGATGTCACATCAAAAAAAAAAAAAACTCTTAAAAGCAAAACTTTTTATTTCTTTTTTTTTTTTTTTTTGAATCAACAAAACTGGAAAATAAGAAGAAAAAGAAGAAGATATAATAATAATATTAATAATAATAATAATAATAATAATAATAATAATAATAATAATAATAATCTTTTTTTTTTACGAAACGTTTTCTCGAAGAAAGAAAGTATTAGTTTTCAAACGCGCGCGAATGTGATATGCCAGTTTTTCATTTCTGCATTATTAAAAAATAAAAAAAGAAAGAAAATTCATCGGAACGCACTTGAATACCTACAATAATAATAATAATAATAATAATAATAATAATAATAATAATAATAATAAGATTTTCTCTTTTTAAGGAAAAAGGCGCGGAAAAAAAAAAGAAAAAAAAATTATTTCAATTTTTTTTTTTTTTTTTTCAATATTATTACACTTCTTATTGCTCTTTTCTTTTTTCTTTTTTTTCCCACCCACCCAACACCACCCCCCCCCCCGCCTTCCATTTTCTCATTCGACATATAACAGATGTTTCAAAAATCATCGGAAAAAGAAAAAGAAAAAAAAAAATTAAAAAATCGAGGAAAAGGAAAAAAGGAAAGAAAAACGAAAAAAAAAAAAAAAAACGAAAAAACAAAAAAAATAAATAAATAAATAAAAAGTTTTTTTTTTTTTTCACAACGTCAAAAAATGTGGAAAATGAAAAAGGAAAAGAGGTAGAAAATAAGGCGAAAGGTAAAAAGGAAAAAAAAACGAGGCGAGAAAAAAGAGTGAGAAAGTGAGAGAGAGAAAAGACACACACAAAGACTAAACTGAAAATTTCAAGAAAATAAAATAAAATAAAATAAAATTTTAAAAATTTGAAAGAAAAAAAAAAAGAAAAAAGAAAAATAGACGGAAAATTGTTTTCGATTGTGTCGAGAGAGATTAATAATGTTTATTTATTAAACGATTAATTTAAATCAACTATTCCGCCCCCCCTTTTTTTTTTTCTTCTTAAATTTAAAATAAAAATTATTGATTATTCATCATCATTCGTTCTCTTTCGACAAACAAATCTAAGTGAGTTTATTTTTTTTTTTTTTTTAAATTTGATTAATTTATCAAATCGGGTAAAGTATCAAAAAACGTAACGTAATCAAATATGAATCAAATTAGAAAATCTTTTCCGCGACAAACGGAAAACTCACTCGCGATGATGAAGTTGAAAAATAAAACGGGGTAAAACGAAATTTTCCCCATCTCACTAAATCGATGCTGGAAAAAAAAAAAATTTAACCAGAAGTGAATTTTAAATTTCGTGAGCCGTGAACTCTCACTACTACTTTGAAATAAAGGTAAAAAAAAAGAGAAAGAGAGAAAGAGAGAGAGAGAAAATACTGAAATAAAAATAAAATGTAAGATATGCGCGCCAACGCCAAGACGTTGACTTCGTCTCGGTGTAAAAAAAAAAAAAAGAAAATGGAAAAAAAGAAGGAAAAAAAAGGGAAAAAAAACATACCTGTTTCATTTTTATCCTTTTTTTATCCAGACATTTCATGGCATACATTTTCCCGGTGTCTGCTTTTCGGCAACCGTAAACTTCTCCAAAACCCCCTCGTCCGATTATTCTGTGAACGCTGAAATCGTTCATTGTCAGCTGAATGTTCAATTCTAGGTTTTTCCACTGACAAAATCTCGTGTATTTATCGCTTTCCAAAAATTTCTTAAACGGCTCCCCTCTTAAATGATTGAATATTTCTTCTATGTAAGGCTAGAGGAGGGGGGAGGGGGTGGAAAAAAAAATAAAAAAATAAACATTTGAATTTTTTTTTTTTTGATTAATAACGATACCCCATATTGGGAATATTGTGTGCATGGGGTTTGAGACGGACGATTTTTCCAGGGATTCCAGGCCCAGAAAAAAAAAAATTTAACGGGGAACGGGGGGGAGGGAAATGAAAAAATTGATAATAACTCACCTCGAATAAATTAACTGGAACTTCATTTTTCATCAAAAATTTTTGTACATGCGCGACTGAATCCTTAGAATAATCCTTTAAAAAAAAACAAAAACAAAAAAGTAACCATTAATTCGTTAATAAACAATTTTCTTCCTTTTTTTTTTTCCTTTTTTTGGCATCCTTTTATTTCCTTTGAGCTAAATACATAAATAATTTTTTCAAGTTTTTTTTTTTTCTTTTAGAAACAATATTTCAAGTTTGACAAAAAAAACAAAAATGGAAATAAACGAGGAAAAAAAAAAGGAAAAAAAAAAATTTTTTTGTTTCAAATTCAAAATTATTTTCCATAAAACAACCGCCATTTTGTCACAGGTGAATTTTTTTACATTTTCAACACCGCAAAAAAAACAAAAGAGAAAACAAAAATCAATTTTCTAGGATTGGTTTCAAGGAAAGAAAGAAAAAAAAAAGAATTTTATTATTAGTATTATTATTATTATTTTTTTAATCCTTTAAAATTTTTTGTTTAAGCGTTACAAACTATTTTTTTTTTCTTATGAAAATTTCGATTTACGTCATATTATTATCATTATTATTATTATAATTCCGTATTTAACGTCAAAGAATTTAAATCTCGTACGATTTTGTTTTTTTTTTGTTAGCTAGAGCTATTGGCTACATAAGCAACTTTTTTTTCCTCATTTGAAATCTTTTGTTCGTCGTCTGACAACCGCCTTCGTCATTTAACGTCCTTAAACTTAAACATTTTCTTCAAATCCGAGAATTTCATCATTTACAAAAATGAAAAACTAATTTTTTTTATACGTATTAGTCATTCCGCATTTACATATATTTTTCCCATTTATCTTAGCTAAAAAAAAGAAAATGGCGAACCGAATTTTGATTCTAAATATTTTTTTTTTTTTTTTGACATTAGAAGACGCTGATAAAACAACAAATGGAAAACTTGTCACAACTTGTCATGTCGACCAATTGTCATTGCAAAAAACGAGAATAAAGGACACAAAAACAAAATTTCCCTTTTCTCTAATTAATCAATATCGAAAAAATAATAATAATAATAATAACGGTAATATATATAAAATTATTAACAAGTTCTAAATAGTAGATTAATCGATAATAAAATCTCATTCATTAAACTTTAATTTCAATTATGTTTGAGATAAAACGAGCCTAAAATAAATAAATAAATAAATAAATAAATGAAAGAAAGAAAATTCGTTCGATGATAATAAAAAATGAGAGGAAATCATCCTGGAAAACAATAAAAAATAAACTCTCGAAACTTTTTCATTTTTTTTTTTTTCCGAACCAATCGAAAATTTTTTTTTAAATACGAAATTATCGTGAATTTATAATAATAAATCCGTGAAATGCATCGTGCCACGATTAATAATTTACGTTAAAAAAAATTCATAAACAATCGGGAGGAGGAAATAAATCAATTAAGTGTAATCCGGAGGGTGGGGGGAAAATTACCAGTAACGAAACGGCGAGATTATTATTATTATTAGTATTATAAAACGATAATCCAACCATTTTTATCGGTTAGAGAAAGGAACCGTCCGTCTTTTGTATACATTTTTATTAAATTAATAATGTTTTTTATTATTATTATTATTATTATTATTATCGATGGAAATCTTTTTTCCTTGCATACTCGTCGGAAAATGGCAAACGTATTTTACGCGTGACATTGATGAATCAACAATCGATTCGATATCGTTTTCGAATTCATTAATTAATACGATTTATTAAAATGACGTCGCCTACGTAAAGTTCAACAACATAATTATTTAGGCCCCCCAAAAAAACAAAAACAAAACAATACAAAACAAAAGGAGAATTTTATTTAAAAAAAAAAAAAAAAAAAATTCGGTCAATCGGTTTAAACGCGTTTCATCCAGGACAAATCAATAAGCAAAAATGGGGAAAAAAAACATTCACTCATTCATTCATTCCAAATTTTTATAATTTTTTAAAAAATCGATTCGATAAATTATTATTATTATTATTATTATTATTATTATTATATTTTTGACAGTCATTAAGTTTTTCTTTTTTCTTTCTTTTTCTTTCTTTCTTTTGTTGTTGCTCCGTAAACAATTTTCAGTTTTAAAAAAAAAACTATTTATAAAACGAAAACAAAAAAAAAAGCAGAAGATAATTTTTTTTTCCTTTTTATTACGTCATCGCTAATCATTTCAAAAGTGTTTAATTTTATTAAGCATGTTTAAACCGTCGAGAAAAGAAAATGATTTCGAAAACATAGTAGTGAAACTTACTAAATCGAATTAAACGTTTTTTTTAAAACCTATTGTCATTATTATTATCATTTGTTTTTTTGACAAAAAAAGGTTACGTAACGCAGTTAGTTTTAAAACCAAAGGTTTCCCCCCTCCTCCCAAAAAAAACGTACTTTTAAATAATTTTTATACGGTTAAATGCAATAATAAATACTTTTAAGGGTTTTCCGACCTAATTAAATATTTTGATGAAAATTTCTTTTTTCCCTTCTTCTGCCTAATATTTTCACACTACGACAAATTTCGAATACCAACAAAAAAGAAAATTATTGATAATAATAATAATACTATGGGTGCATAAAACCTCCGTACCGCCATTAAAACCAGACGCCATTCTATTTTACATTTTAAAAAAAAAAAACAAAAATTTACAAAAACGATTTATTTAATTTACCGCCGTTAAGAATGAATAAATGCATCTTTACTGCTAACAATAATAATAATAATAATAATTACTTAACGAAAGACCGTGAAAATAAAAAAAAAAAAAAAAAAAAATGAAATTTATGCCATGACTCAAACCTACCTGAAACCAAATCGAATTTCAAAATTGTTTAAACAAAAAAAAAAAAAAATGTAGATATAAATAAGCGTGAGAAAAAAATAACTTACGTGGGAATGCGCCAGTAATTCTTTCATAATAAAATTGTCGTATATTTCCCGGGCTAATTTTTTCCTTTCTTCCATGCATTCTAATTTTTCATAAGCTTTAATCTGGAAAAAAAAAAAAAAAACAAACAAAAAAAAAATTCAATCAATTACGTAGTATTATTTATTGCAAATCAAAGACTTAGTATTATTATTATTATTATATTTATAATCGAAAACAAAACCGAATTGTGGAAATTCGTTTCGAAAATTAATCGAAAAAAAAAAAAAAATTATGGATTAATAAGTAAGGAAAATTCTTTTTTCTCTTTTTTTTATTAACCATTGTTGTTGTTATTGATCATGTTATAGCTAATATTATCATTATCATAATTTCGTACATCTTTTCTTTTATTAATGAATGTTTCGCTCAAATTTTTCTTTTTTTTTTTTTTTACCATACAGAACAATGAAACCTTTTTATTTTTTCTAAAGAAATAAAGAAAGAAAATTTGTTTAACGAAGCATAAAGAAAAAAAATAAAAAATAAAAACCGAACGAACCCTTTTATTATTATTATTATTTGCAATCCGTAGAGTGTCTTGCCAACATTTAAAAAAAAAAAAAAAAAATATTTTTAACATCGAATTTCCCGCGTGAAATTTCGTGCGTGAATTATTCGTTTGTTTAGAAATTAAAAAAGGTTGTTCGCACATATCATGCGAGAGCGAGCGAGAAAAAAACTTTTCCAAAATTATTAAAATTTTCCCGGGAAAAAACAATTTTTTTTTTTTTTTTCGTTTCATTCACAAATTCAAATTCAAAGAAAACAAAAAAAAAAAAAAAAAAAAAGAAAAATCGCGTGGGAAAACCAATTCAATGAAAATAAATTAATTAAATTAATAAAAACGACGGTTAAAAAAAAGGAAAAAAAAAGGAAAAAAAAAAAAAAGGAAAAACATTCATAATAATTAGCACAACATTTTAGCGGCGATTAAACCTTAAACCCTCTTCCCGCAAAATCTTTAAAAACAAAAAACCATTAAAACCTATATTAATACTTTCTCTCTCTCTCTCTCTCTTTCGAAAAAACCATACGGCTAATCTCAAAGTGTTTCAAAAATGAATAGGAAAGGAATAGAATAGAAAAGAAAAGAAAAAGAAGAAAACGGAAAATTAAAAAAGAAAAAAAAATGATAATGATAATAATAATAAATTTCCCGTGACGGAGGGGGGAAAAAAAAAGAGAAAAAAAAACCCCCGAGTAAACTGAAATAATAGAAAACGTACGAAATAAACTTGACGACAGCAAAAAGAGTGAGAGAGAGAGAGAGAAAGAAAAGAAGACGCGTTACAATATTTTATTGATTTTCGATGAGGACAAAAGAGAACATCAATTTAAAAAATAATTAAATAGATTTTACGGCTATTAACGATCCGAAAAATCAATAAACATTTCAATTGCCGTTAAAAAATTACTTATTTGATGAGAGAGGGAGGAGGAGGAGGAGGAGAAGGAGGGGCGAGGTGGAAAGAGGGGTACGGGAGGAGGGCGGGAAAATTTTTTCATATACCATTTACTTGTAACGGAGCATGTGTGCTAATGTCAATCACCGATAGGAAAAAAAAAATTGTTTTCGATTTTTTTTTCGTCGAACGAATTTAAAAAAATGATTCGGCGTTTTCGATGTAACCGACCGGAAAAAAAGTAATGAGGAAGGAAAGAGAGAAAGAAAGAGAGAAAGAAAGAAAGAAAGAAAGAGAGAAAGAATAAATAAAAACAAAAAGAAACATAGAATTAATAATATCATCGATGGGGGAATAAAAAAAAAGAAATTGCAAAATCAAAATTTAAAAAAATAACGAAAACGATTCCGAGAAATTTTCTTTTAAAAACATTACTGCCATTATTACGATGATGATGATGATGATGACGATGGTGACGACGACGACGATAATGATAATGGAAAGAGCTTTGAGCCATTTTGTTACATTTTAGTATAATAATAATAATAATTTTTGTGCCTTCGTTGCAATGTGTTTAAATTTCCTTCTCCACCTACTCCAGTTTTTTTTTTTTTTTTTTTTTTTTTATTAAGACTAATTTTATGTAACAACAACAACAACAACCAATAGAAACTTCCTTGCTAAATCAAACACAATCAAAAACTTTTTTCGTTTTTTTTTTTAACCAAACAATAATAATAATAAAAATTATTATTATTATTATTTTTGTTTTTTCCTCTTAAATTTTTACATTAACTTTTTTTTTTTTTGTATTTTTCTTGAGGCAAAACACGAGATTTCCGATGCATGGCTGAACACTTTTTTCTCTTTATATTATTATTTTTTAATAAAATTCATGTTTAATTACACTTAATTACTTTTCTTTTTCTTCTTTTCTTCCTTTTTCTCTTCCTTTGTTTTCCTTTTTTCTTGGAAAGTTGATTCATTTTTGTTAAAGAAAATAAAAAAAAAAAAGTAAAAATATTTGTCAAAATTTTATTTTTCTTCTCCTTTTTCGAAAAAAAAAAAAAAAATTCTTCTATTATGTTTTTCTTGTTGCTGTTGTTGTTGTTGCTCGCGGCAGCATTCTGACATTTTTAAACATGAGATACGAACAAAAAGCTTTTAGATTCTTTTTCGACGAGAAAATTAGACATCCACTAAAATTTCAAAAAAAAAAAAAAAAAAAGTAAACACACAAAAATTTATTTTTTTTTTTCCTTCTTGAATCAATAAAAACCAACAGACAAATTCTTCCTCCCCCTTCTCCTCACTCCCTCCCACTCTTCCCAAACATTAAACATTGCAAAAAAAAAAAAAAAAAAAAAAGAAGCTCATTTAGAAAATAAAAAATTGTTACAATTGATGTGACGACGACATGGCCTGAATGAGGAAAAAAAAATTTTTTTTTGTTTTTTTGTTTTAACCGTTAATTAACGGCCGTTAAAAAAACTTTTTGTTTTTTTTTTGTTTAAATGACCCCGTAATAATTATTCGTTTTCTATTTTCGTGTAATCCAGTTCGAAAAATTTTCCTTTTTTCCTTTTTTTTTAAATTTTGAATTTTCCAGTGATGGCATTTAATCGGGATTTCGAAATATAATTAACAGCTTTTAAAATTATTTGAAAATTATCGAATAATTTTCAAACCGCAAAACAAATTAAAACTTTTGAAATTTCTATTTCGGGGGTGCGGGGGGAAGCGAGGGAAGGGAAGGGAAAACAATGATGTTTTTTTTTGCCCTAATAGACGATTCATTAAAAAATTATTTTCGACCCGAAATTAAGGGTGTGTGTAAAAAAAAAAAAAAAAACATTTTAAATACGCCGTGAAAATAATAATAATAGTAATGATAATAATAATTATCGCTTAATGATGTGTGACATCACAGGTGTTCAGGTTAAAAAAAAAATTTTCTTTTATAATATCGAACACGCGTTCAATTCTGCAAAAATCGATTATGTTCACTATATAAAAGTAAATTACTTTCTCTCTCTTTCTCTCTCTTTTTCCTTTTATTATTTTTCAAAAAATAAAAAAAATAAACATCTCGCGTTATTCTGACAGATTTTATCAATCATTCTCCTCTTTGTAAAATCACATTTCTCTCTTTCTCTCTCTCTCTTTTTCTCTCTCTTTAAGAAAATTTTTGCGTTGGTGAACAAATCAGGTAATGAGTTACGAAATACGGAGCGGAAATAGAAAAGTTATAATAAAAATTTTAAACCTAAAAAATGTAGAATTTCAATAAAAAAAAAAAAAATTTTAAATCTTAATAATAATATTAATAAAAAAAGAGAGAGAAAGAGAAAGAGAAAGAAAGAGAGAGAGAGAGAGAGAGACAGAAAGAAAGAGTGGAATAAAAACAAAATCGGTGATTTTGAAAAAACCATCTGATATCTTCTTTCACCATCCATAATTACGCAACAACAAAAAAAACTAACTAAAAATTAAACAAGAAGAAGAAGAAGCAGAAGAAAAATTAATCGGATTGAAGTTATGAAAGAAAAATATATACATAAATATATTAGAATGAAAATTTTTTTAATGAACTCCTTAAATTCATGCATAAAATTTAATTTCCCCCCCTCCTCCCCCCTTTTTTTTATTTTATTTTATTTTACTCTCTCGGCGTGTGCCATGATTTATTTTCATAACGCGAAAAATTTTTTTTCTATTTTGTATTCGAAACACTCGAAATGAATTTTTCGAAGAAAATTTTCACTCTCTTTTTGATTTTCTTTTCCCCCCCCCTCTCACTCTCCCATCGCAATCTGTATTTGATATTACGGAGGAAAAAATGTTTAAAAAAAAATAAATAAATAAGTAAATAAATAAATAAAAA